ATCCCGTTGTGGGTAAAATTAGAAAATTCATAACTCAGTCAAAATTGACTCAAACTATGTCAAAATATCAAGATCTACTCTATTTTAATTGCACTATATGATGTAGTTCAACAGAATCTTTAAAAAACAATAGAAGATACGTTGGTTTTTTATGAGGTTTTCTGGAAACCTTCAGAAGTAAGGGAAGATGTTTTACTAATCTTAATTACGGAATCAGACTGAGCAGTTAAAATGGAGTAGATCTTGATACTTTGACATAGTTTGAGTCAATTTTGACTGAGTTATGAATTTTCTAATTTTACCCACAACGGGATATTCCATCTAATATAGGTTTTCACTAGGTTTCTGAATTCTTTTCGAAAAACAAAGATTATCACGAGGCTCAGCGTGGTCGATTAGCTATGTTTCCATTCATTTTCGAGAATGCCACATCTAAAGGAATACTGGTCCTGGAGCTTCGGGAAAATCGTATCTCGAGTTATTCAAAAAATAGCCCGGGACGCTCTATTTTGAAAAGGATAGTAGTATGTAAAAGCTGTGATTTACTCGGCTGAATTGCACTTTGTAGAACTTATTCATATAACATTTTTAACTAGTTGGGTATGGGTAAGTCCCTCTTGCAGAATTTGACCAGAAAGTTTTTTTTGGAAAAGTACCGCTTCATTGCTGCATAGTCCTTTCTCATTATTGAAAATTAGTTTTTATACAATAGTCGATTTACTCATATCTTTAGAACATCACACCCACTAGGATAAATAATTGATCGACAAGAATCTATTTCGTTTTTATTCGAACATTCTTGCCATTGATGAACATTCTAACCGCCGACGATGAATTTGTTTGGATCTAACACTGGTAATATTGTATTGATTATGAATTTCTTGTCCACATCGAATTCAAATTTTTATCAGTTAATTTAACGGGTCTTAATAATAGAGATATTGAATACTTGCTGAAATAACGTTAGTTAAATTATTAAAACATGTTTTTAGTCATAAATATATTTCTAATCTTTTTTTAGTGACGTTTCTTCTTCTTGATTGGATCTATGTGTGCATGTCAATGTCATTCCATTATTATTTATAGAATAAACAATAACAAATATAACATCAGATGTTTTTTTAAATTCGACCACTACAAAACACATTTTAAACTAGTTTTATAACAAGCTTCACATCTCATAGTGTTTACCGATATAATCGATTGAAAAATTACCCAGAAAAAACTTCTGTGTTCAAAGAAGTCGAAAAACTGTTTCTTATTTATAATCAGGATCGACTACGTTCGGATTTTTCTTCATACTATGGCTGACCTCAACCATTTGACACTAAAGTCCTGAGAGTAACACAAGATCAGTATGTAAATGAAAGACCCATGGATAGGATTAACAAATATCACATTAAAATTATTCGAAAATATTAGCGTCATAGGAAACAGGGCTCGAAACAGGCCGACAATTTTGAGGCCTGTTCTGCCTGCGTCAGGCTTGTAATGTTTAGATCTGCCTGGGCCTGTCGAAATATTTCCTGGGCCTTGCCTGCCTGCCTGCCATTGCTCTCGGCCTACCCTTGCCTGGTCTGTAGATGCCTGGTAATTTTTTAATAAATGTACAAATAATAAAATAAGATGGAAAGAAAAGTGACAGATAACTAAACAATATATCCAAGTGAAAAAATTTGGTTTTTGTTCAAGTATTTTCTGAACTGATCTAACTAATAAGATATCCTCAACCGTGTCAGGATTTAGTGATCTATTTCAGTCTAGTACATAGTTTCACAGTGTGAAACTCCCATATCATAACGAAATCTACAGCCGAAATGCTAGATTATGAATAAAGAGGCCGGCTGGTGTTTTAAAAGGTCTGCCTGAATCTATTTCAGTTTAGGCCTGGTCTGCCTTATCCTGGTGCAGGCCGATAATTTGTAGCCTGGCCTGTCTGTAACAGGTAGGCCCACCCAGGTCGAACGGTACGGTCCATATACGGACGGTTTACTGGACGCAGGAATACGGACCGTAACATCATTAAAATAGGGCCGTATACGGCCGTATTTTCACAATATACGGCCCGTAAACGATACCGTTTCTGGGCACAGTAATACGGGGTCGTATACTGTGAAAATACGGCCGTATACGGCCCTATTTTAATGATGTTACGGTCCGTATTCCTGCGTCCAGTAGACGGTCCGTAACGAATATCCGTTTTGGTCGACCTGGGCAGGCAGGCAGGCAGGCTGCCTGGTCTGTTTCGAGCCCTGATAGGAAACCCTATGCCAGCATTATTGATCTTTTGCCGTTTAGACGCTAGGAGCACTTAATTTTTGCGCATAAGAGTGAGCCAGTAAAACTGTGGAATATGAAGTATAAAGATATGGCTATCTTGTCAATTCATAGCTTTTTTCAAACCAGCAATTTTTAGTTGTTTTCGCAACTATAAAATAAAAACTTGAACTAAAAAATACTATATTATAGTCGTCGCTCTATTCAATGATGTAAAAATTATTTAATTATGTTGTTATCCCAAATGCCAGTGAGTATTTTAGAGTCGATAGAATTCGTAAAGACAGTGAGGGCGATGTCTGCACAGATTTTGCTATGTCAAAAACCATCCGGACCGGATACTAAGCGGTCCTAACTTTAAGGATTTATTCCTTTGAATCTGCTATATGATCACTATATCTTTTCTATCTCTGACTTCTTTTGTGTTTATTATACGCGTATATTTGATGCACTCCAGAGAACAGAGATTTAACGTCGATTGGTTCAAAAACTACTCATACTCACAGTTGATACTGGTGTATAAAAGTAGATAAAAATAGAAATTCTATGCGAAAGATATTTTTATATTTGCCTTCAGCATTAATTTAATTTCAATTAATTTCAAAATGATTTTCGTCAAGAGAAATTAATTTCACAAAAATTCAAGTTATTAGAATCATTTCATATAACGATGAACTTTGGCGTACTTCCGACATCTTTTGTAACTGACGACTTTTGTAAAAATTTATAGCTCTTGAATTATAGAACCTACAGAGTTAGTGAAGATCCTGTTTTGTCGATTAAACACTTTTCTTTAAAATGACAGTCAGGCAAAGTTTAATCACTGACTCAATTAAGAAATTAAACATGTCAAATAAAGTCACTTCATATTAAAGTGATCTATTTTTAAAACATTTTATCTTTTAATCGAGTCATTGATTGAACTTTGCCTGACTGTCATTTTAAAGAAAAATGTTTAATCGACAAAACAGGAGTGCATGGAGCTAGGTATTCAAGTATACTCTACTTTTAGTTCCGCTATCATTTGTACTCTGTCTATTCGTATTAGAACAACACTTCGTCTTACGACGATAAAAAGTGTGAGAGTGAAGATGATTGTAAGGATTGATATTGTAAGGATACGACTTATAACGGTATCCCAGTGTAAATAGAACGATTGATTCTAGAGGAACAGGTTGATGTATATATTATCACATAGATAAATTATCTTTATGAGAAAAAAAAAGATTGATTTACTGTGCAACAGCAATACTTTCGAGCGTTTGAACTAATGGCTCAAGTCCATCATTTTCATCTAATTCACATATGTCAAGATTATACTGCGTTTTAATTGTACACAATTGTTCATATTCTTCTCCCGATGATACAATTGTTAGCGAACAACCGTGTGCACCATATCTGCCTGCTCTTCCTATACGATGTAAATATGTTTCCGATTCAGGTGGTAAATCCATTGATATTACAAAATCTACTTCATCTAAATCAATACCACGTGATGTCAAATCGGTTGTTACCAATATTTGACATTTATGTTTATACATATCTTTCATTACTTTTGTTCGTTTTTGTTGAGGCAATGAACTTGATGTGTAAGTGGTATCATAACCGAGTACTTTTAGACGTGAACAAACTGCTGCACTACGCATACGTAAATTTGAAAATATTAAACATTGACGAAATTTTAAACGATTTAGTATACGTAAGATTAGAAGTACTTTTTGCTCAAATAAATGTGATTCAATTGGATGTTTTTGAATTTGAATAGAATACTGTTTTATGCCAATTAATGCCGGACACTTTTCATCTACTAAACGTACATATGTCATATCACGCATATAACGTTCAGAAAAACGAACAATATATTCAGAATAAGTGGCTGATGCTAATAAAACTTGTTTATTTACAGGCATATATGAAAATATTGAATTTATTTGATCCTGGAATGAAAAAAAGTGAAAAAATATCTAGTGTAGAAATTTAAAAACTATCACAACATACTTGAAATTCTTTTGATAATAATGCATCTGCTTCATCCATAACTAATAAACGTATACTATCTGGTAGTAATATATTTGTTCTTAATAATTCTTCAATTCTTCCCGGTGTACCTACAACGATATGACATTTTTTTAAATGTTGTTGATCATCTTTAATTGATGTGCCACCAATGAATGTATGAACAAAACATGATGATTGTTTAATAGTTTTGATAACATATGTAATTTGTTGAGCAATTTCTCTTGTAGGTGCTAATATTAAAACTTTTGTTGTAACGTCAATATCATTCTCACTATTCTGTACAATTTCAATAGCCGTTATACTAAATACAAGTGTTTTTCCTGTTCCTGCTTTAGCTTGAACAAGTAGATCGAGACCAACTAATGAGATTGGTAACGCTTTCAATTGAATTGGTGATGGACGAGTAAAACCACCATTTTTTAATGATTCTAATGTTTGCTCAGATATTGGTAAAGTATCAAATGTCACATCCTCATTTATTTCAACATCATCTGTATGAACTCGGGTATCAGCCATAGTTGGTCGTTTGATTTGATTAACAATTTAAACAAAAAACAAAACAATTTATTAAATCAATTCTCATTTGTAGTTAGTTAAACTCCTTTCCTGATAGTAAAAGATAATTGTTCGAAACATATCAATGGAAATCAATAGAATTGACAATATGCATCAAGAGAGAATAGGACACATTTTAAGACTGATGTATTTATTCATTTCAATTTAATTTATTTTTGTAAAAAGCAAAAAAAAAAAAAAGGATACTCCTTTTTCACAACAAAAAAGCATATATCTTACCCTAGCATAAAAAATTCAGATAAACCACTTCATAAAGTTAGACAAGTCAAAAACCATGTATTGAATGTCTCAACACAAGACAGAAAAAAAACAGATTACAAAAATGAATGACTGAAAAACAAAAAAAACCCAAATATACATAAATCAATCAAGAATAATCACTTGTTCTTCTAAGACATTAAGACATTGATGATTTATTCTAATTTTATTATTATTGTTATCCCTTGTGGGTGATTTTATTTTTGATGTTGTCCGTAATAATCGAAGGTTTCGTTGTGTAGTATCTACACAATTGGAATGATTTGTCGAAGGTACTAAATAGAAATTAGCAACGATTATTAAATAGATTTGAACAAAATAAAACACCATAATTCTCTTACATGATGGCAAATGTGGCAGTTTCATAGAAGGATAAAAGGTTGATGGTTTCTTTTTTTTTCGTTGCTTTTTATGTGTAGTATGTGTGCTGGTCTCTGTCGATAACGATAATTGAGATTGCAGAGGATGTGCTAAGTAGAAGAACAATATATCAGACATAGTAAAGTGATTGTTTTTTAGATTTCTAATCTTCTTGTTGTTTCGAAAAGAGATCCGAATGTAGCTCAGAAATATTTTACTTAAATGGTCTATTTTAACATTTAGATAAAGTTCAATTTTGAATTATCATCATAGCAAAAAGATTAAGAAACTCCTATGACTTGAATGAAAGAATAAGAATCGATGAACCAAGAGAGTGTTAGATTTTGACCGAAAAACGAAGTTTTTATCCATCTATTCATATTGTATATTCTCTTCTTTAATTGAGTAATCTTACTTATTGATTTACGTAAAAATTTGTCCGTATTATCCTTATTAGCGGGTAATTTGGCTAATTTTGTATATAAATATGGAGTATATGTTGCAGAATTAGGTGACAATAATAATTCGACACTTTTATTTTTATTAGGCGATGATAAAATAAAAACATGTCGATCACTTGAACGTAATGGTTGTTCAGATGCAATTTGTTTTTCTTCATTAATTTGTAAATCATATTTATTTATCAAGTTTAACGAATCTAATATCTGTATATCATCGGATGATAAAACCGAAGCCAAAATCTTGTTCGGTAAATAAGAGACAAATGGAGGTTGACTAAAAGAAAACAAAAGAGTAATATAAACACGTTTGAACAAATATAATAACATTCTCTTAGTATGAAGATAATTCTAGATTATGTTCGAAAAACTAGATGTTTTTACTTTTTATCAAAAAGGGAACAAAGAGCATTTTTTTCTGACTAATAAAATATAACCTCATATATTTCTAACCTGACATTTTCTATAACTTCACTTTCTTTATCATATACCATTGAATCAATAATATTGTTAATGCATGAGACAATTTCATTGTTCTTATTCGTGAACAATAATTTATTCAATTTATTCGTGGTTGTTAATATTACTTTTTTTCGTCGTCTTTTTTGTTTATTAGTTCGACACATTTGTCTTATTGTCTGCTCTTTACAAATAGCATATTCTAATGTAAGAGATTGTAAACTTCGTTGTTGTTTATTGCAAAACGATCGTCGATGTTTCATCGAAACATAGGCACGTGTTAACTTTTCTTTAACAGGAGAAGGTGGTGAAACGACATTGTCTAATAGAAGAATATCTTCATTGTCAGTTTGTGGTGCTGGCGGTGGTGGTGGTGGTGATTGTTTTGGCTGATGTCGATCTGTTCGTGGTGATTGTTGTTGTTGAAACGACAAAGGTATATTGATATCTTGAATTGTTTTGTCTCGTGATGCATTCTTATTAAATAAACGTAATTCGTCATCACTATCGTGACATATTTCAGCTGGTAAAGTAGGCAGCGATACATCTTGTGATTTAACAGGAGTTGGATTAGTTTCTAATTTTTGTCCATCGTTTGATTGTTTCCTAGGAGAAAAAATGTAATTGTTCAAGTTTTTCAAAAAATTCAGAAAGCAGAACATAATCTGTTTCTTTTAGTCGAACCTACAATCAACGAGTACGAAATCTATTTTGTGAAGATACAATTTACAGAACATAAGAATAAGCTTTTTTTTATTGTTGTTTGACTCACTTTGTTGATGATATAATTTGACAGTCATCTTCGTTGACATTAACCGATGAATCCATACATAGTGCAAATGTTCCGTCATTGCAACGTGTTACCTAAACATTAAATAAGTTTTTTATGTTTTCAAATAAAGCAGAAGAGATGATAATGCTTACATATAAGTGATCAAAATTTTCTGGATTCATCAAATTAAAATCGTATGTAATTGACATGTTTTTATTTGTATTTTCTAAAGACAACGTTGTTTGAGCGTGTTCAGTATGACAATGTTGATAATACTGTAATCGAGAATAGGTATAATAACAACATTGAGTGCAAAAAAACATATGGGTAAATAAATGATGCAATAATGATGAACTGAACAGAAAAAGAAACACAGAGAATCATACAATGTTTTTGAGCAAGAAAGAAATGTTGTTTACCTGTTAATTGTTTTATATGTACAAATATTGCATCGATAATAATGTGTATCATGAAATGCACTAAATACTCCTTGACCATTTAAGACATTTTTTTGACTTTCAGTAATTAGATTATGAGTGTTTGTAGTTTTAGATGAAATTGGTGGTTCTTGTATTTTTTGTTGCACTTTTTTTGCTGCTGCCGCCATTGTCTAGAATAAAAATGCGTATTGTATTTATTGTTAGAAAAGAAGAATGAGCGAAGTTTCTCAATCACTCAAACAAACGAAGGGAAATAGGGTTTTGGTAAATTTTTTTGCAACTTTCGACATACATATGCAGAATACGTTTTCAACTGACGCCGTTCTTGTGGTACATGATAATCGCCGAAGAGTGAAGATGATGACGAAGTTTGATTATGATTTAGTGGCAATATAGAGATATGTTCATTATTCTTTTCTAAATATTGGTTAAATGCGGGCATTGGAACTAGTGGAATTGTGTTTGTTCCATGTTCACCACTAGGTGCTAGAATAACATTTGTGGACGTTGAGTGTAATGATGGTTGAACTAAGTTGGATAATGTTTGTATTTGTGAATTACCTAATATTTGTTGTTGGTGAGTATGATTAATGATTTTCGGTGGTGACAGTGGATAATTTTTAGATAAAAACTGTTTTTTTTTTCGTGTTCTTTTTGATCGATTATCATCACTTAACTGTTTGGTCCAATCAAAGGCTTCATAACTGTTTACTGGTGGTGACGTGGCTGCTTCAAAAATGTATTCGTTTGGATCAAGTACCAGTTCATTGACAGTGTTTGAAACAAACGATTGTGTAGATGGTTTTGGATGTTCTTTTGTACGATTTCGATTTTTTTTCGACCAGTCAACGATCGATGGATTTATTCGTACGCCAGATTTCTCGAGTTTACGTTTCTTCTTATTAGGCGTAGGATAACTGTCATCATCCTCAATTATGCAGGAGTCGTCGTCATCACTATTCCCATCATTAGGATTAACAACAGTTTGATGATAACGACAATGTTTGGTCATGCTACTTTAAAGTTACATCTGAAGTAAAAAGCAAACACATCAGTTAACTGTACAAAATTCTTTAATCTTCTCATGAACAATTCTATTCGAGAGAAAAACGGACAAAGTGCTTGCAAATATACACATTCTGGAACAGTCGAATATTCTTCTTTCTATACACAGGCAACTGCATCAACGGTAGGTTTTCGAGTAAAGAAATGAAGCTTCAAATCTCTCTGTCAGCATAATAGCTGGCCGATAGAAATATATGTTTTGGTCACGGGCACGGCTAGGCGAATCTTTTTCCTAAAAGTCATGGTCATAGTAACGGTAGTTAAGAGAACTTCTTCTAAAAATGTTTGTGCAGTATTTCCTCAAAGGAGGGAATTCGCGAATGATCTACATTCGTAGTTGAATATTCGTGGAACAAAAAATAATTTTTACGAGAAGGTACTCGCGCATAATTTATCGAAGAAAAACGTAGCCTTCAATGCAACGACATCCACAATCATAACGGACTGATAAAATACTCACATAATTGTTTTTAAGAATAATTATAGAATCACCGTTCAGAGAGCTAAGATGAACTTGAATGACAACAAGGACGCACATCAACATTTTTACGAAGAACCTTTTACAATTTGCCAATTTGTCGTATCAAGTAAAAAGAACTCTACTGTTTAAGCTATGAAGATTATTTTCCTCCAATTCAGTACTTGAAACTGTTTTCAAATACTCTTGTAGGACAGATAGTTTTCTACCAAATAAGATGTTTTCCAGCTCTACATAATGTTTGTCTCACACATTATGAACATTTTATCAGATGCTCTAAAAAAAAGTGACTTTTGTGATACCACGTTCCTGGTTCAAGTCTTATCTGTCTGTTAACCTGTCTACATCACGTATAGTCTACTCGTATTTTATGCGATCAAGCTCAAAATTTTATCATAAATACCTGAGACTGTATCTCAGACTCCAACTTTTTTTTCGTTTTTGACTTTTCTCGAGTTATAGGAATTTTGAAATCACAAGCCTTAATTTTCCTGAGAATATTTAAATTTTTTTGTATAACTTGAGAAAGAAAAGTCAAAATTGATTTTGTGTTTTGATAGTTTAAGTTTCAGAATGATATAATAGAAAATTTCTATTCTCGTTCAAGATTAAAGCTTAAATCAAACCAAAAACAAAGTTTGAGATATCGTTTCATGTACAGTGGCTCGAAAAATTGTTTGTCCACATTTATTTTTAATTTTTCTCTTCAACCATAATACCTAGAACAAATCAACATCAACAAACATTTTAGATTAATTCTCTGTACAGTGGAAGTTAGAGTTCATTCATATGTCATGTGTACCACGTGCTATTACATGTCCAACCAACTCTGTTTTATTGATGGCTGCAATAGTTTGCTGAATACGTATGCCAATACGTTTTATATCTAGAGCACTCTTGCATGACAGAAATTTGTTCTCATGCTTATCCCACTAAAGTTTCTATTTGTTTTTGTGTTCTTGAATGATGTGCTTGCACCTTGCGGTGTACCCATCCCCATATAAGAGATGGAAGAAATACCAGTCACTTGCTAACTCACACAACCACAGAGAATCACTCACCATTCCCAAGGGTATATCAGATACATTCGTACTATTGTTCAGCGAATTAATGTAGTGGATGGCTGAGATTTGATCCTTGACTGAGGAATACTGCCAAGTATATATGTAAATAAATGAGATCTCACTGCCGTTGTATTAGGAAACTATTTAATAAAAAGATATGTTCCACCTGTTTAGACTGGGAAGACATGCAATGTAATAGCACATGGTACACATGACATATGAATGAACTCTAACTTCCACTGTATAGAGAATTAATCTAAAATGTTTGTTGATGTTGATTTGTTCTAGGTATTATTAATTAAATCTAGGTATGACAATGATCTACTGAGAATCTTCAACTTTTTAAAATTAATGCAACGCGAGCGCACAGCTTTATGTGCTGACTTAGCGTATAGTGGAAAAAGTAGTGACTTACTCATATCTTGTGCCTTGTCTGTCGGTTGCCGCCTAGAATGAAATTTTGAGGAGGCTAGCCGTCAATTCAGAAACTATGTAAAATAGCTGAAATCAAAATTTTTCAGCAAAATACACCCAAGTTTTACGCATAGCTCAACGTATTGCAAATATAAAAGAACGTTTGAGCAAGAAATAAGGAAACAAAATACTGTACAAGAAATCCGTCTTACTGCAGCTTTCAGGGAAATTCATTTAAATGGTCAGTAACTATTTATTTATTTCTCCGATCACTATTTTCGGCAGGTGGTCATTTTTAAACGGAAAAATCAACAGCTAGCGGGAGAGAATCTAATATAGATTGTGTAATGTGATTTGAAGTCAAGGTGAAATCCTATTCTAAATTTATTTGCTCAGGGTATACTAGACGGTATAATCACCATAAAATCACGTTTATTACGTCTAGCTTTTACCTCTAGTATACCCTGACATGAGCAGATAAATAAAGTTGGCATGATAACAAGTGAAAAAAAATACCTTTATTCTGTACGCTCTTTTGGTTGATCAGATAAGCTGCAATGACGATGAGTCGTTAGCTTCTGTATGAGAGACGTTGATAGTAGCTATAATTCACCGTCACATACACTTATGCTGACCTTTCAGTTATTAACCGAAAATAATGTATTGAGTAGACGAAAGTTTTTAATCTGAACCATTTCTTTTCTTTCTACAGTTTCTGAGATATTCTGCGATATATTCTACATGATAGCGGTGTTTGGCTGCACAGTAGCCGCAAGAATAGAAGATAAAATCGTCAAAAATTAATTATACAGAGAACTGTATACAGCTTATATCTGTTTTTTGAGAATGAGCACACGGTTTTACTACTGCCATCTATGATCGTAATATTGAATAGAGGAATCACAACCGCATTCCTAGCAACCAACATGGTACATTTTTGGAAGTTAATAACACATTTTAAATGATTGATTTATTAACTGCCTGGCAGAATCGATATCAATACCCCCGATAACAAACAAACTGCAGTTTAGATTCTGATAAAGAGATATAACGTTCAGACTACTTCTTACTGTAGCCATCTCTCTTTATTCACGTACTGTTCTTTTCCCATTCTTGATGCTTGTTCTTAATAATGTGTTTCTTTCTTACAGTAACATTTTTTTATCCTGGATTTACTGCTCTTTTAAGTTAAACTACCAACGGAGTATAAACTCTGAAAAGTAATGCGACGGTTAACCACGTATTCAGTCAGATAGCGGCTTTGATTCCCAACACAGGCTTGAGGCCAATAGTCCCCTTGGCGTTTTGCATCGCCCTGAAAATATTCAAATTTTTTCTCACAAAATGGAACTGCATAGAAACCGTTATCTCTCATTAGCTTGAGAGTGGTCGGTTCCAAGCAGCCATATTTATAATGATCATTTAGATTGGCGACCTAGAAAGTCTATTGAAAGTGGCTTCTGTTGAGAACATTGATGAACTTAAGCAGAGCTGGCTATATTCAGCAATGCTCTACTTTGTTGATTTCAAATTCTAGAAGCTCAAAGAACTCTTCTTCCAAAGTTGTAGCACAAGTGATGAAAAACCGTTCATTTCTTTGTGTAGTTTCATCTTTGTCTCTTTTCAAGTGGTTTTTAGTTCTAGTTTTCGCCTTCAATTAATTCTTTTCCAGTCAGAATTTCATTCAGAAACTTAAAAATGTATCCCCTAAAATTTTTCTTTGATGAATTTGCCTCAGATGTATCATACGATGGAAGCCCATACAGTATAAGCTATCTAGGTTCAGCAGTTACGAGCATTTAGCACAACTTCGTACATTGCATACAATCACCAATCGAAGTCTACATATTAACTTTTGAACAATTTTATTCAAAAACAAATATATGCACGTTGAATATTCAGTTCTTGAGTTCTATTTTATCTACTATATGAATGTAACTTTGAGCTTTGTGTTTCATTCCTATTCTTCTATTGATCTTTTCATGTTCCATATCTATCTGAATGTGAATCACATAATTGCATCCTCCTCCATTAGGAAAATTCCATCATGATAGTAAATGGTTCTTGAAAGGGGAAATGGAGTTACTGAATGTGCGAACATATTAAATACTTTTGAACATCATCTGTAATAACGAAGATGTGTTTGTAAATAAGAAATTTTTCTTGTTTTCTTTATCTGAAGCATAAAAAATCTTTTATTAGTCAACGTATCAGAGCGATTTGTGCTGTTACAACGACCATATTTTACGAGGTCCATTAAATCTTTTCAAACTTTTTAGAACTGATGGCCACATTAACGGCCTCACCGTCTAATGTGCAAAGACATGAACCAATACATCGTGCACCTCATCAACGTAGTATTATGCCGTTGCGACGTGAAAGAACAACAGTGGGCTATGAAAATCCTCAGAATTCTTCTGGGTTGCCCACAAAAGCATCCTTGAACTATATGTTTTCTGGTGGTATGATGTATAATGTTTACAGACGAATAACAAATTAAACTAAGTTCTAATTTGTTAAGAAAAACACTACGATCGACGACAATCACAGCCTGCTCGATCTGCAAAATCAAATGAGGTAAAAGAGATATCAAATAAGTTTGGGATTTTAAACATGGTTGCTAATTCAGACGTTTTTGAAAAAATCATAAAAATCAAGAAAAATCAGTAGTTTTTCTGCGATAGAAGAAGTTGGATCAGAGATCTTCTCCATCCTTGCAGTTTGTTTGATCTGTTTATTTCAGTTACATGTCACATTGATAGAAAATTCTAAATTCTACATTGAAAAAAAAAGAAATTATAGAAAATTATTTGTAGTTCTTTTTCAAAACTGCTCACGCACGACTAATAAAGCACAAAAAGGATAATTGTAACAAGAAACAAAAAAACGAAAGAAAAAAGAATAGAAAACTGTTTATATGCTGCAGAAAGAAATTTCTACTGAATTATAATTTTTTCAGTCTACGAAATACGAAACTACCAAGATTGATACAATACTAACCAGTAGAAAATTTCAAAAAGCAGTAGCTTAATTCAAGTAAAAAACTATCAGGAGCCTACTCATAAAACCAGTAGAATTGATAACTTCTCCAATTTAAAAGCAACATTTTGTTTAGATTTTCAGTTTGATCGATCGCAAACTTCAAACTGGTTTGCGTGGTGTAAGACACATGTTTCGCTCACATGATCCATATGGTCGTTTTGGTCAATTATCAAAGTAAGACGTTAAATTATCTATCGCTTTTGAATGAAATATAATCATTTTATTTTTAGGGAAGCGTTCCATCGCGTTTTAGTGCAATTGTGTGGTTACATAAACACAGATGAATGGATCAAAGTATGTAAAATGTAAGTTGATCTAAGATTGTACTAAAATAAAAGAGAACTTTAAAATTTTTTATAATTTGAATAAGTTGTATATCAGTTAATATTTTATATTATAAACTTACTAGTAAATTAAATTATTCATGAACTGAACTGAGGAAAGCTATTCAGAAATTATTATTGCAATAATCATAGATTTTCTTGTAAACAGGTCAATAGTTTTCCTCTTTTTAGGTTTCATTTGGATGAGCGTGGAGATACAATTACATTCGAAGAATTTCTATCGTACTTTCCTGAAAACGAGGTAAGATCTAATACAATCTAGGTATGAATAATCCCTTTTAATTTTTTCATGTATTTTAGAAAGTAAAACGTGAACTAGCATTATCACAGACAGACCGTAGTCTAGCAGAATTAGTTAGTCTTAATAAAAATGTTAATGAACATGAACAACGACAAAAACGTTTTTTACCAAAATTAACAGCAACTTATTGTCTCTTTTTAATGAAAAATAAATGCAAAGATCCGTAAGTTTAATTGAGCAAAATTCTATTGATTAAAACGGTTTTATTATACTATTTTTTAGTTCATTTAATCCAATTGATTACATACCAAATGAATGTTTGAACGGCGGTGTTATATTACCCGATCATCTAAAATTGATCTTAGAAAACTTTCAATTAGATGATTTATTATTGAATAATGCTGAAGAATTTCAAAAATTATGGTCAAAATTTGATTTAGATAATATTGGTCATGTTAAAACAAATGTATTTTTACGAATGTTAGATTACAAATCAAATTTAGCTGATGAACTTGATCGGGATATAAAACGATTACTAATGAGAAGTTGTGTGATTGATAAAACAACAAGATTAAGTAGAAACAGAAGTACAAGGTCATCTCATATTAAACCGACCAATCTTTCTCGAGAGAACACAATGCCACCGTCATCTGCCATTGATCATCCATCACGTAAGTATTTAAACAGTATCAAGACCAGCAGAAAAGAAAAATTTATTTCATTTCAGCTCGAAAATATGATGATCACTTTAACAATACGACTACTACTATCACTAACAACAATAATAATAATAATGATGATGATGAATCGACAGAAATAAAACAGATTGTTCAAGAACCGAATATTAACAAGGAAAATACGAGTGAATCAGCTCCAAGAATATTGAGTACGCAATTTCGTACAATCGTTCAAAGACATCGAAATATGATCAAACAATTGAATGACAATGATGAATTCTTACCGTATCTTGATCGAAAAGTATGTACCATTTGAACTCGCTATATAGAGAGAAAAAAAAAGTTGAGTATAATATGTTTCTAGGTAAATGAAGGATATTTTTGCTTAAAAACAGTATTTGATTATTTGGATACAGACAAAACTGGTTTTATCACGAATGAACTATTTGTTGCTGCATTAAATGAATTTGACATACCAATATCACACAATAATTTGGATCGTTTTCTACGGAAGTAAGAACTAAAAACAGGAAATTGTTTATTTACATTTAAAACTTCACATTTTTTTTGTTTTATTTAGACATCACTGTTTACCAAATAGTTGTACAGACAACAAGATCGATTATAATGTATTTTTAAAACATTTTCAAGATCGTTCTGATTCAAGTTTTCTTGCTCAAACAATAAAGTCATTTAGTAAACATCGGTACGAACAAAAATAGTTTTTGTTTCAATAAATGTAGCTAATTCTTATTGTATGTTAAATATTAGATCAATAATGAATTCTGAATATAGTTCTATAGAACATGCTTTAATCGATTTAATGCATAGATTATTTTTATCATTGACAGCTGCATTTAAGTAAGAGAATAATTTAGTTTTATAATAGACGATAAACGAAGAAGATAAAATTAGATATATAATTGTTTTTTAATTATTTAGATGTTTATCAAATAATATCGATGATTTGTGTTCAGAAAAAGACTTTTATACAATAATTAAACAAGAATTAAACATTAATGAGAAATATGTTTTTAATATTAAACAAAAAGGTGAAATATGTAGTGTACTCGACTGGAGTACTGATATGAAAGAAATGCCATATAAACGACTTTTACATTATCTTAGTAAACCGTAAGTTGATACGAAATATACGAAAATTTTGAAATCATAAAGAAGAGTTTTTTTATTTATAAGTTTCATCTTGTTTTGTGTTTAATCTCTTATTTAAGTCTATATATTTGTAGTCTCATATTTTCTCGTCTAATAAACTTAACTTTAAATAAAATTATTTACAATTTTAGAATGACGTCAAAAGATCGATTATCAAATAAACGTTTTATTCCTATTGAAAAACATCGATCTCAACCTGTTGGAGATTTAGATGACATGAACAATACTAAATCGCCAAGAAAATTAGTTGATGTAAGTGAGATGTATTTTATTTTGTATTATTATTTTATATTTAATCTGAATTTTTCATTATAGGTTGAAAAAATTCTCAATGATTTAGTTCGTTTACGAATGCATACATTCACAAAAGCTTTCTCTCAAATCGATAAACCAAGAACCGAAATGATAAATAAAGAACAATTTTTTGTTGTATTAAAAAAGTATGTTATTTTGATCTTTGTGAACTTCATCTCATGGATGTTGGTTTTTAACTCATCCATTTTAAGTCTTTCAACTAATGTTATACCTTGTCTAACTATGCTATCTGACTTGACTTTTGCTTAGAATGTCTACTGATTTGACTAAAGCCGAAGTCGATATGATTTGGTTATCCAGTGGTTTTGATCCAAATAAATCAGTATTATTTCCAAATTTAATCCGACAATTGATTATGTTCAATGGTATTGATCGACAAAAAATGTTTGATAAAAGTAAACAACCGGTTCCATACGCTTCTAGAAGATTTATTTTAGTATCTATTTTAGTGAAACATCAAAATTCATCACAAAATCGATTATCGACAGCTACTACACAGTCAACACCATCATCATCGTCTGCAACAAGTGATTCAACAATAAAATATACTGATATTGATTACTATGATGTATACAATCGTATACTTCCACACGTAATGAATAGTACCCTTTATCATTCTCATTTAATAGAATATATTCACTTTTTCTATAGATTCGTCTACATTGGAGTGATATAAAACAAGATCTTATTGAAAGAGATGAAGCTCGCATTGGTTTAGTTGATTTTTCAGCGTTATGGGCATGTATTTTTTAGCGTTGTTATATCAAAGCATTTTCTAGATTAAAATATAAGTTTTCGTTTTATAACCTTTTCTAGAGTATTTTTCAACGTTATGTTATACCCGTAACTGAAGAAGAATTGGGAGTTTTAGCTCGAAAAGATAATCCAAATAATTCATCCAAAATCCATTATCCATTTTTTATCAGAAAATATCGTCCAAATGCTAACACATTTAAAAATAAAGTAATTAACAAATACATTTTCACATTGTATTTATTACTTTTTCTTTTCTATTCAGAGTCCATGGGCAGTTGTACATCCTGTTTATGAACAGTTAATTAACAAATATCATATGAAGGTAGAAGACTTAAGTCTTTTAATTTTAAAAATTCAAGATATTTTTTTTTATTTTTAGAGTCCATCAAAGGAAATCTATGATCAACGCATACAGGTTGGCGTCTTTTCTCGTTTATAAACTATGGGTTTTACGCTTATTTATTGTTACATGAAAATAGCAGCAAATGCTTTTCGTTTTTCAGCGATACTGCAATTTAATCCCGTGCACAAGCTAGCTTGTCTGTATTTTCTTGTATCTTACGCGTGTTTGTGTGTGTTCACCTTAACATTCTCATATTTTACCGAATGTATGGGAACAATTTGATCAAAATATATGTTTTTTCAAAATCAACAACAAGATCAAACTATAATATTAAATATTAACAATTTGAAGAGGGTAAGTAATACTAAAATTTAATTAGTAACTAGAACAATAACCAAATTTATAATACCATTTTTGTTGTTGTTCTCATCATGAAATAATAATGTTCTTTTTTTCTAGAGTCCAAAAGATTTAAAGTATATAATACGATTATTTTTATCGTATGACAAAAATAGAAAAGGTTTGTTGTTAGCAGTGCTATGTTAAATATGGTTTTTTCAACATTGAAACTTATAAAACAGAAAGATTCAAGAATTGAACATCAACTGTAAAAGATAGACAAGATAAAAAGTGAATAGTTTTGTTTACTTTTTAGGCTATTTGACTAATGAAGAATTTCATCAACTATTAACTGATAATGATATTCATTTGTCCTCAACAGATGAGGCCTATTATCAATTATTTAGTGTATATGATAAAAAGTTGAAAGATCAATTTAATTACAAAGATTTATTTCACACATTCATTGACACAATTATCTCCTATTAGAATATCTTTGGATTTATTCGCTACGGACTTTTATTTCATCACATCTTCTTTCTACTTTCTCTTATTTTGACATCAACTATCAACTATTTATAGTTGATATTATACTATTATTTATTATTCAATCTGTTTGTACTAAAAAAACATGAATTAAAAATAAAATTCTCAAATCGAATGTTGTATCATTTAAATTATTTTAGCATATTCAGCGTTTTCGATTAGGTGGAAGAATTTCCCCACCTTGTTTGAAAAAATTGACTCCTACTAAAACAGAAACTACTCGGAAAAGTTAAAAGTCTGTTGCTGTTATTTGGATTATCAGCTAAATTTTTAGAGTTGCTCCATAAAACTTCCCCCACCTTGTCAAAGTTATTTCGAAAACGCTGAGCATCTTAATTCCATCTTTTTCTCGTATTCTACTGAGTCTAATCATATTGAAGATATGCTTAGTCATCTAACTTGAAAAAGTTACTTTTAGTTTATATTCTCTAAAACGAGTTTAACTTATCTGTCGGATACATTATGTGTCTGAAGTACTAAAATTATCATTTTTGATAATATACTAAATATCCGAACGTTTCATCAATTTCAATGGCTAAACATACAATCTAAATTTAGTTTTGAAAAGTTAGTTTCACACGTACACTTTCACTGTTTATTATTCGCGTATTAAATCAAGTTATACACTATTGTGGACATTTTACAAATTTTACCAATAAATAAAAATATTTTTCTGCATTTTATTTGAACTGTATCTGTGCCTAATTATGGTTTTATTTCGCCACCGATAAGTTAGTAGGTATTCATGTAATGTTCAGCTAGAGTTCTGTGAAAGAATAGTGCTGAAATGATGATTCTAATGTAATATCGTTCTATCGCAGTTAAGTCTTTAGTCTGACTACGATGTGTTAAAAGCTGTGCTTAAGAAGCATTAATGCGGTTGGATTTTCCAACTTCATCCAGACAAGTACACTTCGATGAGTAAACATATATATATCCAGCAGATTGTATTCTATGATGTGATAACACTTTTTCCTCTTTTCTGTACGTATTTGTATGATTTGTTGTATCATAGCAGGTGTTTGAATAGTTATAAGCTATGAAATTTTTTAAAGTCTTTTCTCATCGTTTTTTTATTCGATTATACTATATAATTTTACATTCAGACGATTTCATCATCTACCATTTTAAACCAAACATTTCTTTTTCCTTTTCCATTTCCCATTAAACGCGGTATGTTTCAAAAAAACAGAAATTAAATTCATTTCGAAAGATATATATTATGTAGATAGAATGAACTAAAATATATATGTATTTCGACAGAAAAACTGAAAAAGAAACGAAAAAGATCACTTATTATATATAGACAGATAGAATAAAAATAACACTGGCCGTCGGTTTAGTTTTTTCTTTCGTCTATAATGTTTCATTCTTTTACATGCATGTGCTCTTTGTTTTGAACACATATACAGTATCTTGACTTGGTGTGTATGTGATTGAGAGAAAGAGAAAAACGATCTAATAATGAAATTCACGTACAGATACAGCAAAAGTAAGTTGAAGTAATGGTAGAATCTTGGTTGAATAAAGACGTTTTGTCTATCCAATGATAACTCTCGATTTTTTCAATTTATTCATGGTTATGTCTGTCTACTGCAGATTTCTGAGCAATACACTAATAGATTTCTTTCTTGACAGTTATATTACAAGAGACAAATGTATGAGAAAAGAGTCTCAGAAAACGTTCTATAGCTTTATTTTTACAAAGGAAAATGGCATTCTTTTCAATTAATTTCTTAATGAAGATAGGATAATACGATAGCCGTATCTTTTTTATCAATGTGCCTATATCTATTGCTTGAGTTAATTCACTGTGAGAATATTTTGATAGAAGGCTCTATGTAATAGATTTACGTTGAGTTAAAGATTTCTTGTAGACAGTGTCACATTCTTTTATTCACGTTACATTTGAAGCGAGTTAGTAAATCAGGTCACGCACTATTTCTTTTTTGGTGTTAGAATTAAAATAAAGTTAACTATAATTAGAGAAATTTTCACATATTTGTGTCACGGATATCCTTTTTTTCTACTATCCAATATTCAGATAAACAATATCGTGCATGTATATGGCAATGTAACATAAGGAAATTAAAATTAAAATCGATCAGTCGACAGGGTTCAAAAAAAGAAATTAGTACATGCGTGCAAAAGATATCGTTCATATATGAATATTAAAAGGACCATCTGACATATTAAGAACAGTGTGTTTAAAAGAACGTTTTTAATATTGTCAGACTAAAAACGAACAACTAAAAACTTTTGTTCTGTCAAACTTACTTTTGTATTAGAGCAGGATAATTATCGACAAGTTTTTCGTTTATTCAAAATGGTGATACTAAAATCACGTACTTTTCTCAAGGTTTAATTCGGTTGTTCGGTAATTTACCAAGAAAAATAAACAATCATTCGTTTGTATATACCTCTTTTTTAAAGTAAACAAAGTTTTTCATTTTTTTCTATAAACTTTAAACATACGTCGATGGATGTAATCAAATTTATATACCATAGAGTAAAGTTATTTATAAAATTTGTCAATATGTCAGTTTTATTCTAAATATTGAACCTTTTTTCTGTAAATCAATTAACATAATAAGAAGGCCGTAAATCATGATAGTTGTTATTTGGCATGTTTTTTGTTAATTTGAGTAGGATGTGGTTTGAAAAAGCGAGAAAAAGATTAATGATGAACTATTAGTTGCTTGTTTTTCATCTGTGAATAAATATCCTCACTATACGAATGTGTAGCGTTGATATACAATTTTTTACTAATATCGAACGTTCTGTCTTCCATGTTTAATTCGTTTCCTCAAACTGAGCTAGAGATTTGTCCATTTTACGCTTTTCTTTGTCCGGTATAAATAGAAGTTGTATTTTATAATTTTTTTCACAGAATGATACTCTAATTCTCACTGTGAATATTTGTATTTGTAGAAATTTATCTTTTCTATGTTTTATTACTATGAAATTAAGAAAAAGTTACGAATTCATTAATCTGTTTACTGAGGATGGTTATTAGACTAATAAATTTATGATTTCGAGACGGTAAGTTACTTTTTCATAATATTTAATTCGAATTTATTGCACTCATTTTTTCAGGAGAAGTTACACATTGAGAGAGACGAGTTATGATGGAACAAAGAGTGATACAGATACGGATGAAAATACAACAATGTCACCATCGTCGTCGATTTTTCAATCAAAGAAGAAGAATTATAAAAAGTGGACAAACGAAGAAGTAGGTGAAATTTTGATATGTATCTCTTACGAATTAAATGTAATAGAGAGATGGCTGAAAGTGTAAACTAAATATGATAGGTAGTAATTATTTTACGCTTATAACAATTGAAAAGTGTTTCAGTAGACTAGAAAACCGTCCATTTGAATTGCATAATTCAAGGAGTACGTTATCCTACAATCAAAAAACATGAGGCACTCTTTACGAATAAAAATGGACATTCTTCATTCTAGGATCAGAAACTTCGTGAGGGTCGCGAACGTTTTGGTGAGAATGAATGGAATCAAGTAGCTAAGCATGTTGGTGGTCATAGAACAGATTCACAGTGTCAGCATCGGTGGGAGCGCGTTTTAAATCCAAGTATTGTGAAGGGACCATGGACAAACGAAGAAGATAATAAAGTTCGTGAATTAGTGGAAAAATATGGAGCACGTCAATGGAGTTTAATTGCAAAACATTTAACAGGAAGAGTTGGAAAGCAATGTCGTGAACGGTAAAATATTGATATAACTAATAAATACATTTTTCTTTTTTTTATCAATGGCGATGTTATTGTTTAGGTGGCACAATCATCTAAATCCAAATATCAATAAGGCACCGTGGACAGATAAAGAAAATTTACTTATTTATGTTTTACATAAACATTTGGGTAATAAATGGGCTGAAATAGCCCGTTATCTGATTGGGCGTTCTGATAATGCAATTAAAAATCATTGGAATTCATCAATGAGAAAAAAGTTTCAATTACAAGAGGAAAATTTGATTAGACAAGGTCTGGATTGGACAGCAATGTAAGTACCAAGCACAAAATAAAGCATCTCTATCTCTATCTATGATGAATTAAAACTCGCGTTTTAGGTTACCGAATGATTTCAAATGTCCAGTTCCACTCCAGACTAGCTGTTCATTAAAATCAACATCATCGAACCACAGCACATCATCAGCATCTTCAATAAGAGCACCTTTGGGTGTTTTAACAAATATTTGTCAACCAAGCTACCACTCTATTCAGATACATCCTTCACTTTCGCCAAAGATGACTAGCATCAAACACTCACCGACGGCATTGTCTCTTAGTCAACATTTTAATCAACCAACACAAACCATATCTCATACTCCTTATGTTATCCAACCAGACTCAGGACATATTATTGAAACAAACAGTTATACGAAAAGTTTAACGTCGGTTTGTCCAAACCCTAGCAACAGTGCTTGCGCTTTCTCATCAGCAACACCCAACAATCAACTGTCATCAAGAACATATGATTATTCTCCTTCATGTAGTTTTGCATCTAAACCAAAACAGTTACCACGGCAAAATTCGTATTCATCACAGGTAGATAATTGTTTCATATGAAGTTTTATAGATTAGTGTTGGAATTCATATTTTTTGTTGTTGTATGTTTAGCCTAATCTATTGAGTTCCAGCCAACAATGTTCGTCTCAAACATCAATACAATCAGATGAATTAGCTCAATTACTGTACTGTACACCTCCTTCACCTCCGAAAGAATTACCTATGTTATCCAGTTACACATCATTAGATCTTCCTCAACAATCACAAGATCATTCTCATGCACATATGTCTCTGATTCATTCATCATCTGTTTATTTCCCTGTTGATTATATTCAACATCATAATCATATTCTAGTCATCAACAAGCACCTCGATCGGTTTCTCTACCCGTTGATCGACATCATTCTTATTTATTTTATGGTGAAGATATCAATAATCGTTCGCAAGCATCAAACAAACATTCAACATTTGATGATCATATCATGTTTGTGAACAACAATATGAACAGTGATCCGTTCTTGATGGATTTTTGTATATTGAACAATGACGAAATTGTTATAGTCAAAGAAGAAGATAAATTTCCACTGATATCAACTCATCAAGCAACATCGTCATCGACGACGCATGATCGTAGTAAGTGAAACAAGACATTGTCTTAGCACATCAATCTACATTGACCTTTCCTTCGAAAAGATCCCACTGGTACTATAAAAAGTATTTCCCTACGAATTTTGAAGGAATCTATGAATGATTAATGATACATTTTCGTACCATTGTTAGTGTACGTATTTTTCAAGTGATAGACTTGTAAGAAGCTTGGAATGACTAGGATTTTAGATGGAAAGAGCAAGTTAATCACTATACGTATATAAAAGAACTCGACTTCTTATTTTGTTTTACTTTAGAATCACCTCACATTAAATCAAATTCAGCGTCACCATCAAAAAATAAAGTTTTAAATACACCAAAACGGCTGGATCACGTAAGTGTGCTTTAGAATGCATAATCTGTGTAGTATCAACCAATTTATCTTTTAGCCACGACGTACAATTTTAACCCCTAGTCCGAAAGAATTTGATAATGGAAACATTGCAACATTCTCTTTGTCGTAAGCAGAATAACTAACAATATTTACTTAACAGAAACTATATCGTGATATTTTCTTCTTTCCAGAGAACTTCTCCAGTCTCAGCCAATACAGTTACCTAATTCAAATAGAAACATGGTCTGTTTTGTTTTTCTAATTGCGTAGTATTAGTCAAATATTGCTTTTCTTGTCTCTTTAGAATCCAAAAGAAAATTCTGTTACTGCACGAAAACGTCGAATCGTTCATAAGCCATTATGCACCTCACATAATAATTCATTGTCATCGTCGGGTGTAGTCGTTGAACAAAAACAATTAACTATAAAAAGAGCGCGAAAACGTCAAAAAACACGATTACAGTCTCCAACACGACCAATACAATTTGATTCATCAAAAGAGTTAAAGAATTTATTTGGTGTATGTTGAATAATTTTTCTCTAGTATGACTGGGCGCCAAATGGAATCACCTGTGCGAAAATGAAAAGCTTTTTACTTTAAATCTTGTATCATGAAAGATAGGTGGTTTCCTTGCTTAGATATCAAACTGACAGAAAATTAAAACTGTAGAATCTTTGTTCATTATGCCCGTTGTTTGCTGTGGCGCAACTACAGGGAGAGGCTATGCTGTAAAATTCTGTGTCTCAGAATACTGTGCAAAATTTCTGGTTATGCTATGATTGTTCGCTAGAGTTTTGTTCAAATAATATTTTCAATGAAAAATCACTGTGAGCATTCTCCTTTTTAAGATTACTTAAAACGCAGTCTTGAATGTTTCCGTTCACCAAAATTTCTGGTCTGTTCAAATAGTTCGTCTCGATCACCAATTATTTTCAAAAAATCATTTTTTTCTCTTCTAGTATGTACCAACTTATACACAAATCTTAACTGGTCGAACACGAGATCAAGTATATGTCATAGATCAAGCTAGAAAGTTTCTTGACAATTTAAATTCTCGTCAATAATGTTGAATGAATTGTCTTTTTGTTTTTTCACATCTCTGTTGCTTTTAGTTTTACTCTTCTCTCTTTTTTGAACTTGCTTTCTCTAATTATCTGTATGTTATTCAATATAGTTAAGGAATAACACAGTTGATATCTTTTTCTTATTTTCTAATATTATGATTGTTAGTATTGTTGTTGTTATTTATCTTTGTACATATACGAAAACATCCTCGTTATTTATTTGGCGGAGTGTAACTTGTTTTTTAAGTTTCTTTTTCTTAAGTGTAAATAGTGTTGTATATGAAATACTCTGGAATGTGGTTTATTCTATGGTGATCACAACTGGATGTATCACTTTCTTTATGTATTTTTCTTTTGTTTTCTTAACTGTAAAAAAAGTGCTCAGTGATCTGTATTTTGTTTTGTTTTTTATTTATCATTGCACGTGATTACTTGTAGTGCGACGTGGTTCTTTTTTATTTTGTCATTTTTTTCTTAATGAACTAACTATATAAGTGAAAAAATAGGAAATAAAGTAACGGTTAAATGAAGAAGTAGTGATTATAATTAATCAAAAGGTCTAATATCATTTGGAATGATTGTAATCAGGAAAATAACTATGCAAGATGTGCATACGAGTTTGTGAGTTCATGTACACTTTAAATTTTAGAGTACCATTGCACAGGGACGCGATTCCTCCTGAAAATCACTTTAATATTGGGTAAAATTTTTCAAATTTTCAGGAAGTATGTGGGTGACTGCTGATGACGACGCCCAGATTTCACAGGTAGACTTTTCTATTTACTACAGATCAAATGATTCAAACTTTCGAGTGAAGGTTATTAATTCATACTTTTTTTTTTGCGCCGAATTTTAGTCATCATTTGGATTCAAATCCGCTTCAATCTGCTCTTTCTAACCCTCATATTGAAATGTACTCTCCGAATCGCGCATAATTTCAGTTTATGTAGAATTAGTTGCTGTTTGCTTCTTGTCGGCACAATGTGCGGATACATACAGTGGGGGAACAGAAAAGAGAGAAAGCCTTTTACTTAAAGGATATAAAAACTCGAAAAAGCCTGATTTTCAAAAAATCTTTAATATCTCGGTTCTAGATTGTTTTGAATCCTTCAAACAATTTTTTTCGGAGCCAGCGTTAACTGAATAGAAAAATAGTGTTT